AAGTAATACAAAATAAACTATATGTAATATGAGTGAACTATTATACTGTATATGTGATCACGTAAAATTTAGATCTTTGACCTAATACCAAAGTTTCCGTGAGCCGGCTCATCTAGATAAAAATACCTCATTACATATTTTCGGCTGATAATAAAGGAGCTTTGTCATCCAAAGATTAATGAGAGTATTTTTTCTAGCAAGTTCCAGTTATTATAATTTTGCGATCACGAGTGGAATGTGTTCAAGAAGTATAAAAACCCTATATTTCACCCTTTCGTAAATACATCTCAAAAAAATACTCATGGAATCAGAAAGATCTAATAGCATAGCTTCACAGACCCCATTGTCCAATGAAAAAGATTTTTTTGAGTCTGATTATAGGAGTATCACTAATCACGAGAATCAAGCTGAATCTGTCACCTGTTCTTGGTGTAAAGAACCAGATCCATTATTCGAAACTAATGGAACTAACTTAGAACCAGTCGCGAGATTGTTCTGTCTTCATAGCTTTCATCTTAGATGTATTATTATTTCCTTAAAAAAGATATGACATGTCCTCATTGTCAACATCTTATTTATCTTGGTGATATTGATGATGCAAAGCTAAATCCTAGAGAAGATGATAATGTTAAAAATTTTTTTAAAGAATTAATTAACAGACCACAAGACTTCAATCCATTACCAAAGGTGTCAGATGTGGAAACGGATCCTACAACTCCTGAAATGATATTCGTCAAATTACATAATAAAATACTTCATGCTGAGAAGATTCTTAATAAAAAAACACGTGAAGTATCCCGCGTAAAATATGAAATCCTTGACTCTCATTATCCTCTTGGGGAAGCATTGGAGAAGAAATTGGCTGAATATACCTCTATTCATCCTACCCAAACTGCACGAGTATTGCTTAATGCAGAAATTTGGCGACAATTCTCCTTTGAGATGACTCGTAATATCTTTAACAAGAAGAAACGATCAGCTAAAAATATTTATAACATATTTAAAACAGAAGGTTTAGGAAGAGACGAGATCAAGCGAATTAGGAGAATTTCACCATCGTCTTTTGGGAA